TTTTTTCTCAAAAAGGAGAAAAGAAACTTATTTTATAGCGTGTGCTGTCGTGGGCATGACGCGTTAAACTTTTTATTATTTAAATGACGCGCACTTTTGTGTCACATAATCATTCGGGTTGTGTAACCGTGTAATGCGATATTTTCTTATAAAATCAGATTTGCAGACGAAAAAAATTGAAGGGAAAGATATCCCTTTAAATTATTCCTGTTACAGAACAACAATAATAGAACAATAATGATAGTAATAACTTCCAATAAAACCAAGATGAAACTTCATAGGCCTAAATGGCACTATAAAGGATAGAAGAAGAGGTTTGACCGTGTAATGCGATATTATCTTATAAAAAGCAGACGAAAAAAATTGAAGGGAAAGATATCCCTTTAAATTATTCCTGTTACAGAACAATAGGTAATAGAACAATAATAATAGTAATAACTTCCAGTAAAACCAAGATGAAACTTCATAGGACTAAATGGCGCTATAAATGGCACTATAAAGGTTGAGAAACTGAGTCTTGTAGCTTAATTTAGATATCTTGGAAGATGGAAAATAAATCACCATTAATATAATCGTTATCGACAAGGCTGACCAAGTAGTAACTGTTTTGAACCTGTAAACAAATTGAAAGAGCAATATTATCAGTAAACTAGGCGTTCGGACAATATTTGGTTGAAGTTTGAAAAATGAGTATTTGAAGTTGAAGTTGAAAAAGTGTATATGGACGTGCTTGGACGCAAAAATTTTACTCGAAAAAAAAATTGCAGTGTTGTGAGTGAAAACTATTATTTCACTTGAAATACTCTTCAAGCAAGTTTTTCAATACTTTACTAGCATTTCAAATACTTAAGTTTAGTATTTGCAAAAAGGAAGTCTTGGCATAATCGGTGAAGTTGCTGCCATGTGACCAAGAGGTCACGGGTTCAAGCGGTGAAAACAGCCTTTTGCAGTAATGCAGGGTAAGGCTACATATAATAGACCCTTGTGGTCTGGCCCTTTTCTAGACCCCGCGCATAACGGGAGCTTAGTTCACCAGACCGCCGTAGTATTTGCAAATACTGATGGCCAAATTTCTACTTGCAAACAATGACTCGAGTATTTGCAAGTCAGGTCATGGCCAAATACCATAGGATTAACGAAAAAATTATAAATCGTTAAATCAAATACTTGAGACACCAAAGTAAGTGTATGAAAGAATACATACTTGTTCAAGCAATTTTCTTGATGGATCAGTCTCTGGGTATAATTGAGCCCATCCTCTTGACCAGATTTCAAATGCTTCATCCTTCCATACCATGAAACTGGCGGGATCAACGACAGTCGGTTGTACAATTTCCTTAGCTGGGAAGACTCCCCAAGTCACCGCATTGACGTCAGTTTGGCTGATGTTGGAAATCCAGTTTCCTTCCTTGTTTACAGCCATGTATGTTAGGTAGGGGAAAGCCTTGCATTTTTCGACGAGGGTGTTCAACTTCTCCCCGGAACAGAAAAACTCCAAGTAAGCCTTTTGATAAACATATCCGCCGGGACCACCCCATCCTGCAGATAAAAAAGTAAATAATCTCGTAAACAAATAAAAGGAGAACCTTGACGTGACGGGTAAAGTTGCTGCCATGCGACCAGGAGGTCACAGGTTCAGGCCGTGGAAACAACCTCTTGTAGAAATGCCAAGTAAAGCTGCGTAAAATAGACCCTTGGGGTCCGGCCCTTCCCCGGACCCCGTGCATAGTGGGAGCTTAGTGCACCGGGCTGCCCTTTTGTAATCTCGTAAACAAAAACGCTATATAACCAAATCCCACGTCATGTAGTTATAAAGAATCAGCATACATGTCATGGAAAAAGCAAAATGTTTTTGCAATAAAAAGAAGGCTGACTAAAAGGATGTACAGCTCGTAGATAAGTAATGAGGTGATAAAATGGCTGCTATAATCAAATCCCTCGTCATGTAGTTATAGGACGAGGTGATAGGCATCCTAAAAGTGCTAAGCAGGACGTGACATAAAGATAGTTAGCAACTACTACTACTACTACTACAACAACAACAACACAGTAAAATCCCACAAGTGGGGTCTGGGGAGGGTAGTGCGTGCGCAGACCTTACCCCTACCCGGAGGAGTAGAGAGGCTGTTTTCGAAAGACCAAAGATAGTTAGCAACTCAAAAAGATATTTTGGGAACAGGCGATCTCATCTCAAGAATTTATGGACTTGTTTATTAAATAGTGTAAATTGAACTTTGAACATTCAGTAGAAGTTAATTGGTCTCTTTTCCTGGTTGATGAAGCAATGAATAGGTTTTATCCTGACAAGTTCCCATAAGAGTTGTACAAGGTCTTAAAAAAGAAAAGTGTGAAACAGATGCAACTCTTAGAAGACGGGATGTGCGGGTTAGACATTTGAGAGTATTGAACAAAGTTGACTAGAGAAGACTAAGCCTTGTTGAATTCCAGTGCATATCAGCGGAACTGTTTTACTTTTTGTACACTTTTGGAGGTCCTACAATATTTCAGTTAGTAATAGTGACCGATGTTTGCATCAGAGTAGGCTGCCTACATGACACCCCTTAGGGTGCGGTCCTTCCCCGAACCCTGCATAATCGCGGGATGCTTCGTGTATCAAGTTGCCCTTATTAGTGACTAATGCTTTTGGTTGAGAATCATATTTTTGTGTAAAACTCTCGATTTTCTGTATAAAATCTTGTATGAAATGTTTTCCTCTTTTTAGACATCTACTATCTGATTAATAACTTTAGGTTCAATCAATCGAAAGTAAGAGAAGAAAAATGATGGAATTGTGCTTACCAACAGAAGGAGAGTCAGACTTCTCAGCATTAACTGCAGGTTGGCTGTTAATAGTCAGGAAACCTTTCGTATTGACATGACCCAACTTTTCGTTTATGATCTTTGTCTCTGGCTGAAGACCATCTAGTTCAGACCAAGGGCAGCTTCTCAGCTTCCCAAGACAGTAGTCCTTAAATTTCTGATGTGAAAATTATGCAAGTATCAAGCCTTTGAAACCAGTCTTTGGTTTTGACAAGAAATGAACTGTATCCAAAAATCATACCTCATAGGTATCTTCCACGCTATTCAAAGCCACAACCCATTCCTCTTGCAGCTTCTTATCACGTGAGCGTGCACGCATGAACTGTAGAGGTCAAAAGAAGCTACGTTACAGATAACAAATGTACCAAAACAACTCCTCAGGAAAATGCACAAAAATGCCGATTGTATCTTCACTTTGGTTGACCGGATTAATGATGACTATGCAAGCACTAAAAAAGGAAGGATAATTTACGAGGACAAGAAAGCTTATAAACAAACTTAGAAAAATAAATCAAGTTTACAGCCCGACCACAAATTTCCTTCTTTTTATTAGTGCCTAGACCTAGACAGTTTCCACAGTATTTCACAAACAATATTAGAACTTCAAATGATTTTGATTTTGCCTCAAACAACATAAGCACTGCAAAAAATTTAAAAAATTCCTTGTCTCATCTTCCCAAGGCCAAACGCCATTCGTGATGTAACGATAAGATATATTTAATTCTTAAAAAAAAGGAAAGATAGCTCAGGGTATGCTCACGAAGGTATGTGATATCCTATAGTATCTTCTGTCAATCAGATATTTATTCGTAAATTATTTAATTACTTATTCCACAGAGAGATTTAGACGAACAGAACAAGTTGCAATACCTGATAGTCACTAAGTGCCCCGTATGATGGATTTTGAGCATTGCCCCATCTACCATGTGGATATTCATCCCAACCTAAGGTCCTTGAGATGTAGCTCTTTGGACGATTTGCCCTACCATCATTGAGGACCATAGATCAGATTATCATCACATTGTAAAAGCTGGATTCTGACATTAATTCACATCTCTACATACCAGAATATAGGACGAACATCTTCTTTAACACGAAAAACATTTGTAGGACGTCTCCAAGGCAATGGCCTAGAAATTTTGGACTCTTCTATTAATCCAAGATTCTGCATATCCAACACATCTCAAATTGTAAGTTGAATTCTTGCCTATACTAGAAATAGTGATTACTTCGTAAATCTCAAGGTAGAAAGCTCAAAAGGTAAGAGAATAAACCATCAAAATGGATAGTGCTGATTTCTCCATGTTTAATGTATAAAGATGCAAAGTCTTAATGCCACTGGCCAAAATCTTTTTGCACATTTCAGTTCCAAGGTGAATTCCATAGGCTTTGACAGCCTCCTCGCTATCCTTAATAGGTTCCAGGGCAGCCATTATCTCTTCTGGAATCTACAACATAATAAAGGAAAATTGAGTATCTATGAAGCAGGAGCTGCTAATCAACCTTAAAGCAAGCTTCAAACACGATCAACTTACTGTCTTAATCAACATCATTTACATAAACAAGGAAAGCATGACCATTTAGACAAGGATTCAAAATGCAAACAACGCAACAACAACAACGACTCAGTGAAATCCCACTAGCAGGGCCTGGGGAGGGTAGTGTGTTCGCAGACCTTATCCCTACCCCGGGGGGTATAGAGGCTGTTTCCGAAAGACTCTTGGCTCAAGAAAAGGAGAAAAGGAAAACAACTCAACTAACATAATTAATTAAGGAAGACGACTCGCGATGTTACAGCAAAAGCAACAGATGGAAAGAAGATGAAAAAATCTAACTAGGAGTGTGAAACAACACGCTAATGAAGAAAAAATAAAAATATATATGTAATGCAAAAAATAGCAATAAATATAAACCAATGATTTTTTGGAGTTTATCTTTTAAAAAAAACGATAAAGCTAACTATATGAAGTACAAATCATGTCAATAAAATT